TGTTTGTGGTTGATCTGACAACTCGGTTTTAAAGGTCAGACCTGGCTCAGGCTGGTCTGGTGGTTCATTATCCAGATTGAAATTAAATGAACTACTCTTGGACCAACTAATAGTTAAAAGGAAGTTTACTTAGCCTCAGCAAAGCTGCAGAACCTGTTAAGGACATAGCCCTACTTGTCTCTGTATGGGAATATGTCTATTCAGTAAGTTGTATTGGAGCAGATGGGTGTTGTGACTTGATGGGTGATGGGGCATCTACCGAGCTGCAGTGCACCAAGGGCTGGCCTTTTTATTCACTTGCCTACTGGAAAACCACGATGACTTGAACCTTTTCCTCCTAGACCAAGTCTCTTTAATAGCTGCCCTGCCTTTTAGGGAAAAAAAAACCTAACCTAGCTACATGGCAGGGAACTTAGTAGGTATTGTTCTTACCACCCTTTACTGGCAACATCATAAAGATTTTCCAGAGGACCTGCCATTTCTTAAATGGCTTTAGGCGGGACTGGAAGAAGAGCTTGCTTCAGGTAAAAGAAGAGAAAAGAGAAAAAGAAAAGGAAAAAAAGTAAACACAAGTACTAAAGGAGAGTATTAGTCCCAGAGTGACTGAATATGGAGAGCAAAGACCTGAAATCTGAGCCTTCATCTCCCTGCTTCAGAAGGACCAAGTCTCAGATCTGTGATGCAATGGGTGATACTCGGGACAGTTCACAGAGGATCTCCTGATGAAAAGCAACAATGATGATTAGAAGCAGCACCAAGAACATCAAGTCAAGAAGGCAGATGATGACATTTCTAGCACATAACTGATCCTCACAACAAGGTGGGGTCATCTCATAAAGTAGCATTATTACCCTCTTGCATAGAGTCTGACTGGGTGCCAGGATCAGGACTAAGATTCACCCCAAGACTCAGGACTAAATCACCACTCCTTTCCTAGGGTGATGCTGATTTGGCAAGGGCATGGCTTCTGAGAAGTGGGACAGTCAACTCAGTCATGAACATAATGACAAAGATATTACTTCTCAGGGGTAAACTTTACCCTGGGATGGGGAAAGAAGGTGAATTTCCAAGACAACAGCAAGTTGAAAACCATTCAGAATAGACTAGCATGAAGAGCCCCTTTGGGAAGACCTAGCTACCTACCTCATCCATAGAATTAGATGGACCATACGATCACAAGCCTTCTATAGCATAACATCATGGTCCCCATAGCAATGGACCCACTCCACCTCCTCTGCCTTTCTCATGAAAGCATCAGCCTGATTATTTAGTTAAGCAGAGAATATATGTCTCTAATGGGTATTAACATGCCCACAGTCAGCATTATAACATTGTTTTGTAAAGGCATTGTAAAATTCCTCTACTGGTCCTCACCCTAATGGGAAGAGCCTTTGATCGTCCGGTCTTTTTCTTTCCAGGCCATAGACCCCTCAATCAGACTCATGGCCACTTCCCAGCAATCAGCCATGTACTTCATAACTCAGCCCACTGGGAGAAATTTCCAGAACTCCCATTGCTTAGAGTATCCCCTTTTACTGGATTAGTGGCTACAAATGTCCACTCATATATTTCTTGTACCATTTGGAGCCATTGCAGAACCAAGCAAATGGTTGGTATTCCTCAGAAGTCAAGTCATCATAGGGGCCCTTTGGGATAGTGAAGGAGACAAAATGTCAGGGCTGGGACTGTAGGTCTGAGCCTCAGAAAGAATGGTAACTCGTTCGTGTTAATGCCCGAGGGGTCATGATGAGCATTATCTTAAATTTGCCATTTCCATTTAATAATAAAGGCTTCCCGTGCGCTACTTATCTTAGAAGAGGAACCCCTTTTTAGGGGTTTTAAGTATTCCAGTGCTGGAACCTATTTGTGCCGCCAGTCAAAATAGGCAGACTTGTAGGTAACTCAGTAAATAAGAGCCATCAGTATACCCAGTTGGGAAATGTGGGTTTTCTGAAATTCAAAGAGTCCAGTAAGCTTCTGGGCTTCCTTTTTTTAGACTTTAAAGAAGTGAGCATCAGTAGTTCTGGACTGTGTCTAGAATCATCTGGAATTCCCCCACCCACAATATTCCTCATAATTTAATTGAGAATACTAGAACCTGGATTTTCTTAGAGTTCATCTCCCATCTATTGGCTGTTAATATGGGCCACCATCAGGTCTAGGGCTTCTGCCACCATTTGGCCTGGTCAGCATTATGTCATAAATGTAGTAGTGGATATCAATGTCCTTAGCAAGTGGGATCTCTTTCTGCTTACTGTATCATAGCAGTATGAGGAAGAGTTCAGGTTGTTCTAAGGATGCTTGAGGTATATTTGGACTTCTTCCTAGGTACAGGAGAACTGCTCCTGACTAGTCTCAGACACAGAAATAGAAAAAAAAGGCAAAAAAAAGTTAGCAAGTTTGACAATCCTATCCCACCGATGTGGGATCTTGGTTCCCTGATTCGCCACATTAATGCGGTCAGAAACAACCTCAGCAATTGATGTAAAAAAGTTTTTTCAACTCTTCTCCTTCTAGTTCACTGTAATCTATCAGGTATTGCCTTCTTTACTGGCCTCTCAGAATAAGGGAGAGATGGTATATCAAAGTACTCTGGCCTCCTGCATGTCCATCACAAGGGAGGAAATGGTTTCTACACACTCCCTAGGACCCAGAATTATTTGGTGTTAATAGCACAGGATGGCGCAAGTAAATACAAAAAGTCTCTCTACTTGGCCCTGCCCTTAATAACTGGTATAGAGACTGCTATAAACACCCATATAGATACTTATTCCCCAAAACTCATGCTACTAGTTTCCTTTGGTGTTCCGAACTCCAACCTTCTCAGTGGGAACTAAGGTGCCCCTATAGACCTCTTGGAAGTTTCCTAACAGTAATCTGGCTGCTAGGGTCCAGCAAATCCAAGTAGAGGTGGAGTGGGGCTTTAAAGGAAACTTTAGACTTGGGTGGGGCCGAAGGGCTCTTACTATGCCAGTGCTGGACACTTTTACAAGTATCCCTGTAGACTGATAATCAACTACTTCCTTATCAACCCTGTGTTTTAGGAAACATACCCAAAGTGTGTTACAGAAGACGTTGCCACCTTCAGCCATACTTAGAATTCCAATTTCTACTAGCAGTCACATTTGCCCGGGTAGCTACTGCGGTTGTCCTAATCTCTTGCTCAAATTTCACCAGTTAGTCTGTTCACATTATATAGTGATACATCATGGGAGGCCCATAGCTAAAGCTTGTCACCATTAGGGTAGAGGACCACCCATAAGGCAGGATCTAATTGCCTTTCCCTCCCCTATGCAGGCTGATCAAAGGGCATGAAGGGCCCGGGGTTTCTCTGTGTGTGGTTGGAGAATGGGGCATCCCAAACCTGACTCTTTGAGGAATTTTATCCCCTCCCTGCTTGCCCGTGACCTTTCTGTCCCCAGCCCATATCAACATTCCCCTTTCACTTTGACTCTTAGGAAGTGCCATCAGTTATTCTTCTGCCTTTTAGCTTCTAGTTCTTCCAGCTACTGAATGACTGTAGAGTTTACTTTACCTTTCCATGTGCTAGTGACTCAGCTTTTCTAAGTCTGTTAGAAATAACCAGGAGGGGCAGCTAGGTGGTGCAGTGGATAGAGCTCCAGCCTTGCAGGCAAGAGGACCTGAGTTCAAATCCAACCTCAGACACTTGATACTTAGTAGCTGTGTGACCCTGGGCAAGTAGTAGCTGTGTGACCCTGGACAAGTCACTTCACCCCGATTGCCTCACCAGAAAGGAAAAAAAGAAAAAGAAGAATAAATAACCAGGGAATGTCACCATGGGCACTGTATTTATCCTCCACGTATAGTTCCTTTAACATCTCAACGGAGTTTTAATCTTTGTCGAATTAACTGAGTTTGTCTTTGGTTGCTACAGAGTGCCAGCCTCCTGCATGGATTCAAATTCTTATTTTGTTAACTACCTATGTGACTTTCAGGGAGTCACTTGATCTTTCTTGGCTTCATGCACCTCCTCTGTAACTTGAGAGGCATGGACTAGACCCTGAGGTCCATTCCAGCTCTAAATTTATTAGGTATAGGGGCAGCTAGGTGGCGCAGTGGATAGAGCACCAGTCCTGAAGTCATGAGGAGCTGAGTTCAAATCCGGTCTCAGACCAAACACTTGACACTTACTAGCTGTGTGACCCTGGGCAAGTCACTTAGCCCCAATTGCCTAACCAACCCTTTTTGGGTTGAACAGCTGCTAAGGTTCCTTCTAACTCAGATTCCATGATTCCTATGAATTTCATTTTTCTACTTGTATAGGTATGGACAGGGCCTACTGCAGTAGGGTCAAACTCAAATAGAAACCTATCCCTATGTGCTGTATATGAGCCTGCAAAACCACAAATTAACATTATCCATGTTGTATTATATTTTACATATTTTGTTATACATTTTCCAGTTACAGTTTAATCTGGTTCAGGATATGCTTGAGAGTTTTGGTGGTGAGTTTGATATCTGATCTAGTAGAGCTAGGTTGCAAAACCACATGTTGCCAGCAGGGGCTGCTGTCTAACCCACAGTGTAGGCTTATAGGTTTAGAGCAGGAAGGGACCTTTCAAGCCATTTAGTTCAGCCCCTCCCCCCCATTTCACAAATGAGGTAATTTAAAGCCCAGAAAAAATGGAGTGATTTACCCAAGGGCACACGGGCAAATAAGTAGCAGAGCCCAAATTCAAACCCAAGTCTTCTGACCCCAGATCTAGGCTTTTTTCCCCACCATATTACACTGCGTCTCAGTGAGAAGGTTCCTTATGTTAGAGGTTTCCGTTCTGTAAAATGAATTGAGACTATACTTTTATCAATTTTGCAAGTGGAGGACTTTCAAAATGAGTTTTTCTTTTAAATGAAGGATATTGTCTGTTTACAGGCATGACTAAGGAAAAATGAAATGCATTTAACTTCCCAGTGGGATATGATGGAATACAATTAGTTCTTTTTGGAATTGTTCCATTTACCTTTCTGTCTTCATCTTTCAGAGTGAATCATCTTTTAACTTAATATCTGAGAAATGTGACATCTTATCGATTCTTTGTGACCATCCAGAAAATAGGATTTACCAGAGGAAAATTCAGGTAAGGCCAAGGGTTTTTAAAACAAACAAGAAGAGGAATGTTTATGTGCATTTCTAAGGACCTGTGATTTCATCATATGAGGAACTCCCAGTGTGAAAACTCCCTCTGTAGATGCAGTTTGACACCTCACTTAGAGTCTTAGGGAGTTGCTTGAGTTGCTGAGAGGTTAATTGATTTGCCTGTAGTCTCACAGTAATTAGCACATATCAGAGGCAGAATTTGCACTAGGTCTTCCTGATTCCAAGGCCATCCCTCAAGTCACTATACACTTCTCTGTCTCTCTGTTCTCCACCTCCACCTCTCCCTCCCCCCGCCTCTTTTTCTCTCTCTCCCCTCTCTCTCTCTTTCCCCTTCCCCATCTTGCTGTCTCATACACAAACACACATAATCTCTCTGTCTCATACACACACTTTCTCCCTCTCTCATACATAACAGTCTCTCACACACATTCTCTCCCCTTCTCTCTTACACACACACACAGTTTCCCTCCATCTCTCTCTTGCACAAACATATATACTCTCTCATACATACAAACATACTCTTTCTCATACACATTTTATCTCTCTCCCATCTTCCCTTCTCTTTCTCTCTCCCCTCTCTCCCTTCCTCCCTTCCTCCCTCCCTCTCTTCTTCCTTTCTCTCACACACACTTTCTCTTCCTCTCATACACACACACATACACACACACACACATGCACACTCTTCCTCTTTATCTTTATACTTTATCTTTATCCTCTTTATACAAATATATATGATTCTATATGGGTGTGTGTGTATTTTTGACTGGATCTGTGATTTCATCTGTGCAACACACCATCTGCAGTTTATGGCCTAGAGAATCTCCTGAGGTACCGAAGAAACTAGGTGACTTGCCCATCAAATGCAGGACTTGCTCTCCCTCTCACTCTTACTCATATTCATACTTTTCTCAAGACTTCAGGGACTATAGTTCTTGTGGTTTAGGGTAGTATGAGAGGAAAAGAAGGTCCCCAGGTTAAGTTGCAGACAATATCCAGAAGTAAGAATAAGTTCCTCCCAAAAGACTGGATCGGTTTTCTTTACTGTGTGACCCTTAGTCAACTACTTAACCTTTCTAAGCCTCTGCTGCTTCATCTATAAAATGGGGACAATAATACCCAGCCATACTTACCTCACAGAGTTGTTGCAAGAATCAAATGAGATAATGTACATAAAACTGTCTGAGGGCAAGCTAGGTGGCACAGTGGATAGAGCACTGGCCCTGGAGTCTGGAGGATCTGAGTTCAAATGTGACCTCAGACACTTGATACTAACTAGCTGTGTGACCCTGGACAAGTCACTTAACCATAATTGCCTAGCCAAAAAAAAAAATCCAATCAGCTTCCAAGGAGATTTCAATTAATTTAGGGGCAGCTAGGTGGTGCAGTGGATAGAGCACCAGCCCTGGATTCAGGAGGACCTGAGTTCAATTTCGGCCTTAGACACTTGACACTTACTAGCTGTGTGACCCAGGGCAGGTCACTTAACCACATTGCCTAGCCAGAAACAAAACAAACTAACAAATTAAAAAAAACACAAAACAGAAAAAACAATCTGCCAACATCAAAATGCTATATAAATATCAGCTATTATCATTATGACTATTACTTTTTAATCTTGCTATGTTTTTCTTTCCCCAGGAGCTCAGCAAAAGATTTTCTGCTCTACGAAAAACAAAAGGGGATGGGAATTGCTTTTACCGAGCTTTGGGTTATTCCTACTTAGAGTCACTTATTGGAAACAGTAGAGAAATTCTCAGGTATAAATCACTTTGGGTATTCTTCCTTGTTTACACATTGTATCCTCCGTGTAGAATTTTGAGGGCAGGGATTTCTTTTGTTTGTTTCTTTTCTCTGGGTCTCCTAATACAACCCTTTGCACACATTAGGCACTTAGTGTACAGAGGTGGTACATTAGTGTTACATTGGATCAGATTGGATTGGGTTGGAATGGTAGTAAATGCAAGGCTTGATCAAACCAAGAAACCATAAGCTCTAAGCTCAGCTGTTTCAGTTGCTTCAGTGGTTTTCTCTTTGTTTGGTTCAGCCCATATTTAGAAAGTAGTAGTTAATCTTAGGGGTGTGCTGGAGCAAGCTCAATGCTTGTGAGAGCTGATTGTTAAATTTCCATTGTGTGCATTTATACCTTAGAAATCAACAAAAGCCACAAATCAAGGCTTTATTCATTGCCTTGTTGATAATGTTGATGCATGGAGACTTCAAGGGCAGCTAGGTGGCACAGTGGATACAGTACCAGGCCTAAAGTCAGGAAGACTTCCTAAGTTCACATGTGACCTCAGACACTTAGTGGCTGTGTGACCCTGAGCAAGGCACTTAAACTTGTTTGCCCCAGTTTCCTTATCTGTAAAATGAGCTGGAGAAAGAAATGGCAAACCACTCCAGTATGTTTGCCAAGAAAACCCCAAATGGGGTCATAAAGAGTCAGACATGTCTGAAACAACTGAATAACAACTAGACTTTAAAAAGTGATGGAGAAAATGTTAATGATAAAGAGTAAACTTAAAAGTGTGTCTAACATACTTTTTTCCCTCCGAGAGTGCTGATTATTAAACATTTACTAGCACATCTTTAAAGGTGACTTCTAACAGCAAGAGACATTAAACAGTGGAACAGGGGCCTCAGAACCTGGATTCTCATCAAGTCACCACCTTGCTAGGCCTTAATTTCCTCATCTGTAAGATGACCTCTGATGAACCCTCCATCTCTAACCTTTTCCACATTGTGTTCTCTCTACCTTCGAGTTCTTGCATTCCATGTTCTAGGTTTCTTTTTTGTTCTTACCCCCTATGATTTCATATGTCTGTGGAGTCACCTTTCTTGGTGGCCTTGAAATAGGTAATTATCTTCTCCCTGCTATGGTTTAGATATGGTGCTACTTGGAGACAGGGAGACTGAATAAATATCTTTCCCAGGTGCCCCAACTGATTCACTGGCCAGGTGCAAACTAGCAAAAATAATTGTTTTAGGACAGTTAACAAGAGATTTCGAGCCACAGCAAAACCCAAAAAAACTTCCATGACAGGAAGCATTCAAGCAGAAGTAGGTTAACCATTTAACGAGTGATTATAGAGATTCCATCTCTCTTTATTGATATAATGGATAGGGTGCCAGACCTAGAGTCGGGGCGACCCACATTCAGATCCAGCCTCAAACACTTACTAGTTCTAAGACCTTAGGCAAGTCATTTAATCTCTTTCTGCCTCATTTGTAAAAAATAATAAGAACAGCACCTACCTCCTAGCCTTTTTGTGAGAATAAAGTACATAATATTTGTAAAATTATTTTTTAAATGTTATTAAAATTATTAAAATTTTAATTATTATTAAAATGATTAAAATTTACTAAAAATAAAATTTGTAAGATACTTTTCTCACAAGGTACAAACATCAGAGCTAACAAACTCACATGTACAATAGAAGACAATTTTGGAGGCAGAATCAGAGGACTTCGGTTCAAGCAAAGGTGGTGCCATTATACTACTGGTGTGACCTTGGGAAAGTGGTTTAACCTTTCTGGTCTGTTTCCTCATATGTAAAAAATGAAAGGGTCAAACTAGATGACTTTGTAAGTCCCATCTATGATTCTATGAATATCACTTGGGGGGAAGAGGTAGATCTTCATTTGAACAGAGCCCTAATGGTGGTATTTTGGGCATCTACGATAGCTCCACAGCCTTAACTGCCCCTTCCATCATTAATTCTTAAGCCTATTCTATTTTAGGGCAGTGCTTATCACTAAGAAGTTCTTCCTTTTAATGAACTGAAATCTGCCTCCTTATAATTTCTTTTTATTTATTTGTTTTTTATTTGTTTTCTGCTTTTTGCTAGGCAGTCAGGGTTAATTGACTTACCCAGGATCACACAGCTAGTAAGTGTTGTGTGTTATAGGTCTGAGACCGGATTTGAACTCAGGTCCTCCTGACTCCATGGCCAGAGCTCTATCCACTGCGCCACCTAGCTGCCCCTAATTTCTTCTTTTTAAAATAAATTTCTCCACATAATTTTCAACCATTAGTCTTAGCCATGCTGAATAAGACCAATCCCTTTATTACTTGATAGCCCTTCAGATAACTGAAATCCACAAGTACAAGTTGCCCTCCCTGTTCTCCTCTACCAGTCTTTCCTTCTCCATATTAAATATTCCCAATTACTTCAATGGAGAGGATGGTTTTGAGTCCTGTTCCTGTCCTGTTCACCCTTCTCTGAACACACTACAGTGTTTTAATACCTTCCTCCGAACACATTACAGTGTTTCAATGTCCCTTCTAAAACATGGCACTGAGAACTGAACCTAATATTCCAAATGGAGTTTGACCAGGTCAGAGTGATGATACTGTCACCTCCCCAGTCCTAGACACTATTCCTCTCTTAATGCAACTATAATCCCATTTGATTTTTTGGATTGCCATTTGTAAAAGACCTATGACTAAATCATGGGGAGAGGAGGCCACAGGTCACTAGAGTTAGTTCAATCGATTGTTCCATCAGGAAAAGACCTTAAAGGATATCTGGTCCACAGAAAATTTGCTCAAGCTTGCATTCCACTAAAACTTTTAGTGGTTTTTTTTTTAACTACATTTCTCCCACCCTGTAGTCATATGGTTGATTTTTTGACATTGAATGCAATACTTTATCTTTATCTCTATTCAATTTCATCTTACTAGCTTCAGCCTACAACTCTCAAGTCTTGAGATATTTTTGGATCTTATATTTGTGGGCTCACTGGAAAAGACTCTAGTATTGGGGAAAAAATTAAAGGAAAGGTTAAAAGAAAAGAGGACAGTAGAGGATGAGATGGATAGATAGTGTTATAGAAACAATAAACACGAACTTGGACAGAATTCAAGAGATAGTGGATGATAGAAGGGGCCTGGTGTGCTATAGACCATGGGGTCACAGAAGAGCTGGACACAATTGAACAAAAACAGCAACATGTTTGTGGTCCATTGTGTTGGTTTCCACTTTTGAATTTGTGTTTCCTGCAGATTTGATGTATGCTACCTCAATCCAAGTCACTAATGAAAATGTTAATCAGGACAGAATTAAAGACGAATGTCTCCAGGAGAGGAAAAAAGAGCTCACAGAGTGGGTGTAGAACTCTATAGTGGGGTTTTTTTTCTGAAACATGCCACTAGGTGGCATGATCCTCCCCCATATTTGGCAGCCCTGGACCTGGGTCTTTATACCTAGTCTATTCTGTGACTTCTGAAGAGGAAGAGAACACAAAACATCCAAAACAACCTGTTCAGAGTTATTATAAACCAAACCTGAAGAGCCTGCTTTGCATATCAGCCTATTTAAACCCCGGGAGAGTACAATAAAGTCTCAGTTTTCCCAAAGGGAGAGCTTTGAAAGGAAAGAGCTGATAGAAAATCCTAACCAAAAGTGACTTCCTATTAGGAGGTATTTGGGATGTGTTTAGAGGTGGGGTGCCATATGCTCCATAGACTTGTTCCAGCATCCCTTTTGTTACTTTAGGGAGGAGGAAAGACTGTGGGATTGAGACAGAAGATGAGGAAAAGATTGGGAAAACATGGCTCTGACAACTAACTTGTTATGGGACCATGGGCAACTCTCTGCGTTTCAGTACCCTAATCTGAAAAATGGGAATAATATTTTGCACTACCTACCTCATAAATATGTAAGGAAAATATATTGGAAAGCTTAAACCCTCTAGATGAATGTGAATTATTGTTGCTGTCATTCCATAATTGTTCCCATCAGTGGCTATCTCTGTAATTGGGAACATGAGCTGCCTTTGGTGAGAATAGCCCCTGACCTGTCTTCCATTTATAGAGATATGAGATGGAATAACAGGAAGGACATTGTGAGCCTCAAATAAGATAATGGATGTAAGGCACGTTGCAAACCTTAAAGCCCTGTAGAAATGTCATTATTATTTTACCATCATCATCATCATCATCATCCTGTAGTCACCTGGCCTGCAATCTGGTAATAACTTCATTCCTTGAACCTTCTACTTCACTTCTGCTGAGCTCAAACAATGTTTGTGAGCCGTATAGGAGTGTGCTGATAAATATTTAACAACCAAGCTCTCCAGAAGGAAAAAAGAAAGTATACACCCAGGCACTCTTAAGTTTCATTTACATTATTAACACTTTCTTACTCTAGATAATCAACAAAACAATAAATCTCGCCTTGATTTGTAACTTTACTGGTTTCTGAGGAATAAATTGTTCATGCTGAATTAACAATAGCTGCTTAGAGCTGGCTCCAGCACATCCATGGATAACAGAGCCCAAGATGCTGGAGAAATTGCATGTAGAGAATGCACCTGATACTTTGTTCACTGACCACTAATCTTTAGGTTTAATTCCTTTCAGGTTTAAGGAACGTGTGCTACAGACCCCAAAAGACCTTTTAGCTGCTGGATTTGAAGAACACAAATTCAGAAACTTCTTTAATGCTGTAAGTAGCCTATGAACCGAGCACCCAGATGTCTGGATCAAAATACAAACAGGAGAGCAGGGCAGAAGTACTAAAAAAACATGAAAGCAATAACTGTGTTATCATGGTCAAGTCAGTTAGATTCTTGGAGTTTTGGTTTCTTGCAAAATGGAGATGAGGCTTAGGAGAGGAACTTATGTCCCTAACAAGACCATCAGCCTTTCTCCCACTGTGAGGCTGCATGCAGGCAGCTTGTGCCTCTGGGCTGTTGTTTCTAACCTGGCTTTAGAACCCATTGTGTTGATAGGTGGAGCAAGGGAGCCAAATGACACCACTTTCTGTCCAAGCTGATTAGATTGGAGGAGTCAGTCTGTGTGGCTTTTCCCATATATATCCCTATTTTTGTTCCCCTGTATTTGTGCCCCTGGGGAGTTCTCATCAGATCATGCTGTGAACTACCCGAGGTTTTGGTACCTAAGGACTAGAAGATTCTTATGTCACCAGGTCAGCTACAAGTGTGACCTTGACAGTATCTTCTAAGACCCTTCTGTTGGATAGGTCTATGTCTGAAGTTGTGAGATTCTGAAATTGTATACTTCTACCTGGAACCTTCCATCAGAAACTCTGACCTCTGGGTACTATCATCTTAATGGTTGGAATAGGGGAATAATTAGTACAATTAATGCATGAGTTGGTGAAGACAGGGGAAGGAGAGATAGCCCACCCTGCAGTGTACCGTATTCCTCCTGATTGTGGGTCCCACCCCTGCCAAAGCCCCAGAGTACCTTGATGTTCGTTCTATAAGTAAGAGCCCAAGGAATAGGGGAACATTTATTGTGTTCCCAGTCCATATTTTATGGACATGAGGGAGCCTCCACATATCACAGAACCCTGAACCACTCAATTCAGTGATCATGGCAGCCAGAGGGGCTTTTGAAGGGTGACTCTCTCCCATTCTTTCTCCTCTCCTCCCCCACACACTATTTTTAAAATAGTGAATAATGTGTTCTATGGGATTGGGAAATAGACAATAACAATTCACATTTTTATTTTTTTATTAACATTTTTACTTAAAGTTTTGAGTTCCAAATTCTATCCTTCCCTTCCTCCCTTCCCTACTCCCTGAGAGGTTAGGTTATACATGTGCAATTATGTAAAACATTTCCAAATTAGTCATTTTGTAGAAGAAAACTCAAAAAAATGAAAGAAAGTGAAAAATAGCATGCTTCAGTCTGTATTCAAACAATGTCAGTTTCTTCTCTGGATGAAGATAATATGCTTCATCATTAGTCTTTTGGGGTGTCTTAAATCATTGTGTTACTGAGAATAGCTAAGTCATTCACAGTTCTTCATCATACAATATTGCTGTTACTGTGTATAATGTTCTCCTGGTTTGCATCAGTTCATGTAAGTCTTTCCAGGTTTTTCTGAAGTCATCCTGCTTGCCATTTCTTATAGCACAACAATATTCCATTACAATCATATACCACAGCTTGTTCAGCTATTCCCTAACTGATGGGCATCCCTTCAATTTCCAATTCTTTGCCACCACAGAAAGATAGCTCGCATTTTTAAAGAGCAGTATATTTTGCTACCACAAGATCTCAGTACTATTATCCCTATTTTGTATATGAGGAAACTAAGGTTCATGGAATTTAAATGACCTGTCTGGGTTCACAGACAAGTGACAGAGCTGGGCTTCAAACCCTCAGATTCATCTGATTGTATGTCCAGTGCTCATTCCATGACTCAAGCTGTCTCTACTGTGAAACACCTTAGGATAGATGAAATCATGATTTGTGGCTTATATTTACTGAGTGCAGGGGGAAATATGAAAAAGGAGAGCAGAGAGCAGTCTTCTTTCTCTCCTTTAAACAAAAGGGAATTTGAAGTGCGTGTGTGTTTGTTGGCCAGGGTTGATCAAAGATGTACAGGGCATAGGTTTGCCTATGTGAGAGTTGCTGTGACGGAGATAATCCAAAATCATAGACAGTCCTTTTTTTGTTGTTATTCTTTGTGGTTGAAGACATGCAGGGGCAACTAGGTGGCACAGTAGATGGGGTGAATAGGCCTGGAGTCAGGAGGATTTATCTCCTGAGTTCAAATCCAGCCTCAGACACTAGCTGTGTGACCTTGGACAAGTCACTTAACCCTGTTGGCCTCAGTTTCCTTATCTGTTAAATGAGCTGGAGAAGGAAATGGCAAATCACTCTAGTATCTTTGCCAAGAAAACCCCAAAATGGTGTCACAGAGACTCGGAGAAAAAGGACTTAATAACAACAAAAAAAAAGAGACAAGTTGGTATAGTGGATAGAGAGCTGACCTCCAAGTCTGGAAGACCTGGGTTCAAATCCTACCTCTGACACATGCCAGCTGTGGCACACAGCCATTCACTTAATCTCTCAGTGCCCCAGACAGCTAATGCTATACATTGCAGAGAAGGTGGTGATCTGCATTAATAGGTAAAATTTGTCACTAGGTGTACCCTACCCCAAGGAAATCACAGATCCAGTCTTAAAAAAAAAAAGTTTGTTTGATTTTGGAGTGCACTTGGCCTCCATCCTTTTCCCCCATGTTTAGCAAACCCTATGACCCAGTGCTGTTGCTAGGTAACATGTGTGCCTAAGCTCTATGTTGATAATTCAGTGGCACCTCCATGGTTGAGAGAGCTGGGGAAACCTGGTAGTCCTGGGGAGTATTTATGGCCAGAATTGCCATATGTTAACATTCTAAAGTAGGGGAATGATGAAGCACTGAGCTCTGACCCAGCAGGCTTGAGACTCTCCTATAGAAGTGGCCAGGTTTCATTTCCCTTATGGGCATGGGAAGAAGTGAATAATCCAGAGGGGAAAAAGAATTCTATAGTTGGAGTATCGTTTAGGACCTCAAAGTGTCTTAGATGTCAGGACCTGAGTTCAAATCCTAATACTGCTACTTATTATGGAAGCCGCTTCTCTTTCCTTGGCCTCAGTTCTGTCAGTTATAAGATGAGGCAGTTGGAATGAATTATCTCTACAATCTAGTTGTAAATCTACCATCCCTGAGACCCTGGGCCTGAAACTCAGGCTGACACAGCCTCTCATTTCACCCCATCTTTCATCTTCTGACCTATACCTTGTTTGATGCCACATTACCACTGCCTCCAGACCAGCTGGGCCGTGGAGAGAGGAAGTCCCAGGTCCTGAGTGTCAGAACTATAGAAATTTGGAGCTGGGAGAGACATTAAAACAATGATGTCAAATTCAAATAGAAAAGGGGGCCACTAAACTACATAAAGATCCTTGTGAGCACATATTGACTTAGACAACCACATATTAACATTATCTATGTTTTATTGTACTTTAATTTATTTTATTAAATGTTTCTCAATTATATTTTAATCTGGTTTGAGCCACACTCACGTGTATTGTGGCTGTAGGCTGTGCATTAAGACACCTCTGCCTTAAGATATCAAATATCAGAGCTATAAGGAAAACTTAGAGACATCATCTCAGTTTATGTTTCCCAACTGGCAATCTTCTAAAACAAAATTTTTATTTTTTACAAATCTGTAAAGCATTTACTATGAAAATTACTCTTTTTATCCATTAACTTTCAAAAACTGGTTCTTCTTGCTGCTTGTGTCCTTGCTCCTCTCTCCCACACCCATCCCCAAGCCCTCTGGACCATGCCCCCCCAAGCCTTTCAGAATCACCCCACAGCAGTTGTGGGGGACAGAATAGTGCCCAGTAGAGAATGTGGACATATATACTCCTCAGGACTGTTTGGTATGTGAAACACTAATTCAGTCACACAGCTGGTGAGCCATACCTCAGAGGTATGCTTTCCTGCCTCAGGTTTTATTGTTTCTGTGTCTGAAATATTCTCCCTGTCCCTCTCTGCCTGCTGACTTCATGCCTACCCTTTATAGCCAACTTACATGTTACCAGTTTCATGAAGCCGCCTCCGATTTCCTTCCCCTGAGCCCCTATTAGTAACATCCTTTCTGCATTCAGATCCCAAATAAGACCTTTCTTTGGAGCTAATACATTGTCTTTGTGTCATAGAATTGGGGTGGGGTGTGTGTGTGTGTGTGTGTGTGTGTGTATAAATAATCAAAGAACTTAGGCTATTGAGGAACTTAGAAATCACATTTTACAGATGAGTAAACTGAGACCCACAGAGGGAAATGTAAGCTAGATGAAGGTAGGAATTTTTTATCTCAGTTGTGTGGCTAAGGCAGTCTGTCACAGAGTGCTGCATACAGTGAACGATAAATGTTTGTTGAAGTTTTAACATTTTTAAGCCCAAGGAGCTAGACTTAGAAACACACAATAACCTAGTTATCTAAACTGATTGTGACTTCGGGGTGGGGGTGGGGAATGAGTCATTTCATAGTAGAAAGAATACTAGACTGAAAATTGGGAGCCCTGGGCTGCCTTTGGCTATACCACACACTAGCTCTGCAATCTGGGAAGGGCTGCAGGGTGGAGCAGTGGACTGAGTGCTGGGTCTGGAGTGAGAAAGGCACATTTTCCTGAATTCAAATATGGCTTCAGACGTTTACTAGGTGTGTGACCCTGGGCAAGTCATGTCACCCTGTTTGACTCAATTTCCTCATCTGTAAAATGAGCTGGAGAAGGAAATGGCCAACCTCTCCAGGATCTTTGCCAAGAAAACCCAAAAATGGGGTCATGAAGAGTTGTAAATGACTGAAAATGACAAAACAAAAAAAGCTCTGGGAAACAGTTACAGTAGCATTCATATAAGGCTTTGGGGTTTACAAGGTTTGGTTTGGTTTTTTTCCACACAGGATCTCATTTAATCCTTATGATAACCTGGGGAAGATAGATACTATCATGCTCATTTTACAGAGGAGGAAACAGACTCAGAGAGATTGAGTGACTTGCCCATTGTCACACAACTAATAAGCGTCAGAAGTAGGACTTGAACCCAAGTCTTTTGGCTCCAAATCTAACAACAGTCTTTTCATTACACTAAACTGCCTTGACCTCTCCGGGCCTCAGTTTTCTCATATATAATATGTGATAGTTGCTGCAGTTTCTTGGGTCCCTTCCAATTCCAACATTTCTGGATTCAAAGTTTCCTTCCCATTTCAACATCTGAGTTCATAATTAGTGAACAAGCATGTGAGTAGGTTCAAAGTTCTCCAGAACCCAGGACTGAATTACAATTTGGGGATGGGGGTTGTTCTGGAGTATGTGACTTTGGACCGACCTGAAATAGTAACAAAGTATTTCGAACTCACCATTTATTTTGTTCTGGGGAAATAGCAGCTTAGAGGTTATTATGAGTAATATAATTAATATACAATGTGTTATATAATTAATATAATATGCAATAATATATAATACAGTAATTGAAATATGTGATAATATAATATAATAATATGTCATAATTAATTTCAGCTTGGAGGTTATTATAATTCATCAACTTGAGGACCTGAAAAAGAAAGGCCTAGGCTCAGGAATAATGAATTCTTGTGTGTTCTATTTGTTCTTAACTGCCCGGCCTCAGTTTTACAGCCTGGTTGAAATGGTGGAGAAAGATGGCTCTGTTTCCAACTTGCTGAAGGTTTTCAATGACCAGAGCTTTTCAGATCGAATCGTCCAGTTCCTTAGGCTTCTCACCTCTGCATTCATCAAGAACCGGGCAGATTTCTTCAGGCATTTCATTGATGAGGAGATGGATGTCAAAGACTTCTGTGCTCAAGTAGGTTTACCCCTTTAGTAGCAGCCAGGAGAGTCTTAGATGCAGCTGTGTTCACGATTTGTATCCAGAGGCAGACCTGGGAGAATATTGAGCTCTGCTCCTGTACCCTGTGCCCTCACTATCCCTCAGAGAAGAAAGAGGCATCCTGAGAGTCAGGGAACCTGGATATGAGTCCTGGATCTGACACTGCCTAGCTATGTAACCTTGAGCAACATACTTTGCCTCTGGGCCTCCGATGATATGGAGGCCCCTTCCAGTTCTAATATTTTGTGTTCTCAGATAAGGAGACTGAGGCCCAGAGAGAAGAGGGCAGAAACTATCTTATTTATACTGTTTATCTGTCACAGTAAAGTAATACAGAGTTTGGCAGGCAGTCAAAAAATAATACATGTTCATTAAGGTTTTAACAGTTAAAAGCCTATTTTAAAGACAGCTCGGTGATGCAGTAGATGGAGTGCTGGGCCTGGAGTCAAGAAGATTCATTTTCATGAGTTCAAATCTGGCCTCAGACACTAGCTGTGTGACCCTGACCAAGTTATTAACCCTATTTGCCTCAGTCTTCTCATCTGTAAAATGAGCTGGAGAAGGAAATGGCAAACTATCCCAGTAATGTTACCAAGAAAACCTCCAGTGGGGTCATGAAGAGTTGGACATGACTGAAACAACTGAACAATAATATTTATGTAACTCGTACTATGTGCCAAGCTTTGAGCTAAGCACTTTACGATTATTTTAATCCTCACCATAACCCTGGGAGGTAGGTACTATTGTTATCCGCATAATACAGATAAGGAAACTGAGGCAAACAGAAATTAAGTGACTTGCCCAGGGTCACAAAGCTAGTATCTGAGACCAGTTTTTGAACTCAGATCTTCCTGCCTCTAGGCCCAGGGCACTATCCACTATTATCGTTATTATTTTCTGGGCTATTCAGTAAAGCTCATAGGTGGTTATTTCTCCCAATCTGGGATGGGTTTTGGCAATCCGTTCTTTTATCTCAAATAGCGCTAATTCTCTCCTGTGACTGGCCATGTATTATCAACTGCAGTGTGGCCTAGTCTGTCCATGGAATAAAGCAAAGCTGATCAGTTTACTAGGGAATCAAACCCCTGAACCCCTTCCTCCTCCCCCTGATGTCTGGTCCTGTCTGTCTGAACACTGTTACCTTGTTGGTGCTCACAGGAGGTGGAACCCATGGCCACAGAGTGCGACCACGTTCAGATCACGGCTCTGTCTCAGGCACTGAACATTCCTCTTCAAGTTGAGTACGTGGATGAAATGGACACCGCACTGAACCACCATGTATTTTCCGAGGCTGCCTGCCCTTCAGTTTATCTACTTTATAAAACATCACACTACAACATACTTTATGCAACCGATAAAGTGGGTTAATTTTAGGCCCTGCAGTGTAGAGTGTCACATGACAGGACTACATTCTAATAGAGCATTCTGTTTTTTTTTTTTTAATTATTTAGATGTTTCATTAACTAGAAGGAAATGTACAGCCTTTGGGGACACATCACTTACAAGATTGTGCCCAGGTTCTGTGTTGGGTGATACCAATTAACCAGCGAAAAGGCTGCTTTTTACCTCATCTAGATCACCTGTCATTGACTGACTTCTGATAACATTAATAATGTTTGTTTTGGCTATGGACCAAATGTTTTCCACCTTTGACTGGGTAAATGGTGTGAGAAATGAGCACTTGATGAGCAATCAGGAGACCTGGGTTGGAATCCTGGCTCTGCCACTCACTTGATGCCCAGTCTTTAACAAGTCATTGGCTCTCTGGAGCTCAGTATCTGCATCTGTAAAATGGGGCAGGGTGGGTGAGTAAGCAGATGTTGAAGATCTCATTTTTCCACTTCTCAATATTATGTGGACTGCAGCTGTTCACCAAAGGTAATCCTTCACAAGAAGAGACAGGGAAAATTGTTTCCACATACGATGTTTTGATTGCTAGAACCCCATCGGAGCCAAATCAGTTTAGGATCATTAGATTTAATGTTGAAAGGGCCACCTACCTGAAATCATATACTCTGGGATCTAGAAGTTCTTATCCTGGGGCCCATGGATAGATTTTTAGGGGGATCATAAATTTAAATGAGAAAAAAATATGTTTATTTTCACTAACCTCTCACTGAAAGTTAGCATTTCCTTCAGTTTATCTTTCTTATTCTGAGAAAAGGTCTATGTGCTCCACCAGACTGCCAAAACTGTCCATTATACAAAAAAAAAGGTTTAGAATTGTACAGATAGGAAAACTGAGGCCCAGAAAAGTCAAATGACTTGCCCATGGTAACAAGGGCAGAGCTAGAATGTAAACCCAGCCAAGTCTCCTAACGCCAAAGCCAGAGCTCTTCCCACTGATTGGTTAGTCGTCTGACATTACCTTTTATTTAAGCTGAATGGCCAGTTCAATCAGGAGGAGCCACTGAGCATGTATACACCATAGGACATACAAACAGAAGAAATTAGGCTTGTGGTGATCTCTGCTAAGCTAGGCTTCCTTACCTCTTCAACAGTGAGTCTGTTCTGATTTGAAAATCAGCTTGAGAGCACAATGAAGAGCCATGCTCTTACTAGCCCAAAGGTATCCAGACTTCCTGGGGCAAGTGAGTCGAGAGCCCCCCTCCCACGCCTCCCACTACTACAGCCTCATCAACTGAAAACTAATTTGGTTTGTTTCTAAATCTCACTCATTACCATAGGACTGTAGATCCTATGGTGGCCCTTAGCCGCCATGACGTCCATCATTATCATTCTGCATATGAGGAAACTAAAAAGAAGTGACATTTGCCCAAGGTCACACAGCTAGTGTCTGAGTCAAAATTTGAACCCAGGTCTTCCTGACTCTCAGTTCACTGCCCTACATACTTCACTAGGGTACCTCTAAAACACAGCAACCATCATTTCCAGGCAGTCCTCTATCTAAGTATTAACCAGGACCAACTCTACTTAGATTCTGAGAAAAGATGAAAATCAAGTATATTTGTCATCTAGCTCTATGTGTCTTCCTGACCAGCCCCCTTAACCCCCTTACCATTTCTGGCTTAGGAAACTGAAGCAAACCAATAAACAATGGTGAAGAGGCAGCTAGGTGGCACAGTTGGATAGAGTACTGGGCCTGAAATCAAGAAGACATGAGTCCAAATCCCGCCTCAGACATTTACTAGCTGGGTGACCTTGGGCAAGTCACTTAACCTTTTGCCTGCCTGTTTCCTATAAAATGGGAATCAAAATAGCACCTTCCTTCCAGGATTGTACACATGAGAGAATAGCTATAAAGTGCTTAGCACAGGGCCTGGCACATAGTAGGTGTTACATAAAATGTTATGTTTTTTTAAAAAAGGGGGGGGCCGAGTAAAAGCAGGGACTTGTGCTCTCCCCCAAGCCCCTCCAAATACCTGTAAAAAATGGCTCTCATTCCCCCCCCCAAAAAAAAAAAGGAACAGCATAAGAGATCAAATTTCAACACTAAAGCTTCCTGAGAAGAGAGTCTGGTGATTACATGGGTTTCATATTTCCTGTAAATTGCAGGTAGCCCTTAGGAAAACATTGATTTGGGTTCACAACCTCCAAGGCCAGTAGTAGAAAGAATACTAAATGTGGAGTCAGAGGCACTGAATTTAAATTCTGCCCCCTTCCTTTCTGTCCTTAGGCAAATCACTACTTCTGGGCCTATTTCCTCATTTGTGAAATGAAAGGGTTACATGCTAGAATCCCACAGGGTTGGGTGTTTTTGTTTTGTTTTGTTTTTTGTTTCTTTTTACAGGGTTTTTGTTTTAACTCTACATCCTATGAAATCATAGGTAATTATCAAGTTTTCTTCCTGTCCCACTTTTTATACAACCAAGAAGAAAACTAGGCTAGGGGAGGGGGTGGGGGTGGGGCAAAAGAAGGGGGAGATTGGGGAGCAAAGAAAGAATGAACAATGAAGTGAAAACACCAGCTTTTCTGATGGGCACTGCTAAGGGCTGTGCATTCTTCTGAAGGAAAAGAGGGAGACTTCAGATAACATCATGGGACACTTCTACACCAGTTCTGAAATTTACAGGCCTTCCTCTCTCAGGTTCCAATTCTAAAGGGATTTTCTGGATCTGTTGGTGCTACTGTTGATGTCATTGCTTAAAAAACAAAGTGTACTGTTTACAAGGGTAGTGCCAATGTTTGAAAACAATGCTCTACTTTCATTAAAGATATTAGGCTTCTCGTGTAAATGAAAACGTATTGGAATTTCGCATGGGGAGCTCAGGCTCCGTCAGCACTTGTGAAATCATGGCACAGGAACTCATCATTTGTTCTTCCCGGTGGACGGGACTCTGATCCGTGAATTATGTATTAACTGCTGTACCCTGTTTTCTGGACGCCAGTGCATTGATCTGTATGTTACAATGTTGTGGTAGTGAGAAAACATCCTTTGATGGATACACAGTGCCTAGCACATAGTAGGGTGCTTAATAAATGTTTATTGACTATCAACTACTATTGATGGGATTTTCCAATGTTATTTTTCACTGCTCATTCCGCGGACTAGCATTGTATTCAACTACCTGAAATAGTGGGAGAAAAACATCCTTTGATGGACGCACAGTACCTAGCACATAGTAGGGTGCTTAATGTTTAATGACTGTCAACTATTATTAATGGGATCTTCCAACATTATTTTTCACTGCCCATTCCACAGACTAGCATTGTATTCGAACACCTCAGCCAAATGAAACCAAATGATCTGGTTCATCTAAATAAATACTTAACAAAATAAATACTTATTTTGCTGAAATCTTTAAAAACTGAACATTGTCATGTGGTCCGCCACTTAGTCGTCCTCACCAGAACTCAAAGCAGCATGATTTTTATTTTTTTCAATGTTAGCATGTGGGTTCTCTGTTAGAAGTTATGCTGTGAATTTAGGTGCATGATCTGCATGTCACACATAAGGAAACAGTTGTATAGGCAGACACGAGACAGAGAAAAAGAAAATTTTTAAAAATTTTGTCCCAGGCAGGATCATATCTGAATGGTACTTACCCACAGTCAGTATTTTGGGGAGTAATTTCACCCATGTGACCCTTTCTCCATTTCCCCAAAATGCAGGAAAGAAACAAACTCCTTGTAGTCACCTATGTTTTGCTCCTCTTAAGAATACCGTTCTAGGGGCAGTTAGGTGGCGTAGTTAATAGAGCACTGGTCCTGGAGTCAGGAGGACCTGAGTTCAAATGTGGCCTCAGACACTTGACACTTACTAGCTGTGTGACCTTGGGCAAGTCACTTAACCCCATTGCCTAGCCAATTAAAAAAAAGAAATCTGTTCTAATCTGTTTCTAAGTCAGTGAAAGAACATGCATGTGTGGGGGGGTGGGGGTGGGGGTGGGGGTGGGGGGGGTGGAATCACTGGCCTCAAAGAACATTTAGGCAGCTAGGCAGTGAGGTACATAGAGCATTGGGCCTGCAGTCAGGAATACCTGAGTTCAACTCCAGTCTCAGACACTTATGTGACCCTGGGCAAGTCACTTAATCTATGCCTCAGTTTCCTCATCTGTAAAATGGGAGATAACAGCACCTACCTCCCAAGGCAGCTAGGTGGATAGAACACTGGGCTTGAAATCAGGAAGGCTCATCTTCATGAGTTCAAGTCCAGCTTCAGATACTTCCTAGTTGTGTGACCCTAGGCAAGTCTCTTAACCCTGTTTGCCTCAGTTCCTCATGTACAAAATGAGCTAGAGAAGGAAATGGTCAAACCAATCCAGTATCTTTGCCAAGAAAACCCCAAACGGGGTCACAAAGAGTTGGTCACAGCTGACTGAGCACCACCACCTCCCAGGGTGGTCATGAGGATCAAAGGAGAGGATATTTGTGAAGCTCTTAACACGGTGTCTGGCACACAGTGAGCACTCCATGAACATATGTATAAATGCTATTAGTTACAAGCTCTGTGACCTTGGTGTAAGTCGCCTCTCTGCGCCTCTCTTTTCCCTCTTCGTAAAATGGGGATAGCATCACCTCAGAGGCGCGAAGCACCATCCTAAGGGGAGCAGCATTCTATCATTAAATTTATTTGATAGGATAGCAGATGTTAATTTATGGGGACCTTCAGGTCTACCTTTCAAAGCTTTGTTAGGTGTTGCTCACATCGAGCTGAAATCTGCTTCCTTGTAACAACACTACACTGGGCCTAGTTCTGCTCTCTTGGGCCAGGGAGGCTCATCCTTCTTCTAATACCTGACGCAGTTCTCTCTTCCGCATCTTCTCATTTCTGGGAAAAACATCCCACGGTTCCTATAACCAAAAACTGTCCTGTGCAGACGTGGCATTGTCAGGGTAAGTTCCTTAAGGAGAGTCATGTTGGAGGCAAGACTTGTTTCCATGTTCTTTGATTTGGGCAGCTTGCCCCTGGCAAAAAGTGCTGACTGTAAACATTTCCAAACACCGGTGAGGTGATGCTAACCCACCTTAAGGCACGGGAACAAAAACTGGTTAAATCGGGGAGCAGGAGGGCAAACCCAAACTTTCCAGCTTCTCAGTGTGGCTTCAGTGACTTATGTGAAGTGTTAGGAATTCTTGGCATGTTAAATAAGCCCATATTCAAACATGAGAACAAAAACCACATTCCAAAAAGGAACCGATGATGATAATGGCAGCTCATGTTTCTACCCCATTTTGTAGTTTACCAAGCACTTTCCTCACAGCTGCTGTGTGAGGTGGGCATTTTACGGATGAAGTGATTTGTCCAATGCCATGACATCCGTGTCTTAAGAGTCAGAAATAGAACCCACTGCAGTATACAGAGGATTGGGTGCTGAGAGTCGATCCAGTCAAATCCCTCCTCAGCTCCACCATATTGATTGATAAGGAAACTAGGACTCAAACAAGGTGAGTGACGTAATAATAATAACAATAATAACACAAGCGAGCGTTTACATAGTGTGTTAATGTTTGCAAAGAGCTTTACGTGTTATCTTGTTTGGGCTCCACAACAAACCCAGTGAATGAGGCAGGTACTTTTTGTTCAGTCATTTCAGTCATGTCCAACTCTTTGGGACCCCATTTGGGGTTTTCTTGGCAAAGATTCCGGAATGGTTTGCCATTTCCTTCTCCAATTCATTTTACAGACAAGGAAACTGAGGCAAATAGGATTAAATGACTTGCCCAGGGTCACACAGC